TCAATGTCTCTTCTTTTCTTTTTTTTCTCTCCGTTTCTCTTCTTCTTCTTTTTTTTTTTTTTATCTTAATATTATAGATAAGACTCGTTACGGTAATTAACTCCAGTCGAACGAATGTGTTATCTTGGAAGAAAAGAAAAAAAATGTCTGGCTCTCCCTTACCATACTTTTTATATATGTACATATATCAATCTAAATCAATTGTGACAGACAGACATCGATAAATGGATCAACCGATTATATATTGCAAGGTATACCTGTAAGCATTCTCGTTCTATTTTTTTTTCTTTTTTTTTCTTTTCTCTTTTTTTTTTTTTTTTTTTTTTTTTTTTTTTTTTAATATTAACCAAAGAAAGAAAGCTTCGAGTTAGAAATGTTCTAACGACTCATCCAAGCTTTTCATTTAATCACTATAATTACTTCGATTTTTTACTGACGAATATGTTTTTGCCCCTCCCCCCTTCCCACCCACATTTTTTTTCCTTTTTTTTTATTTTAATATACAACATTACCAAATTTTTACGATAAAATATTTTCAAGATTTGAAATTTTCGCTATAACGAGCACACGTTCGAGATGTATGAAAGATAATATATTGCGCAATAAGTTCCGTCAATTTTAATAAATTATCTTTAGAGAACGACGCCTTACAACTGTTACAATAATATAATCGAATAGTCTCGCGCGTTCGGTTGATCTCAAAATAGATTAGACGATACATCGACATTAATCTTTTTCCATTTGTATATTATAATAATATATATATATAATTATTCAAGATAAAATATAAAACTAAAAGATAATAATAATAATAATAATAATAATAATAATAATAATATGATTTTCAAGGATCATTTCCCATTGCGAAAAGTAAAAAAAAAAAGAAAAAGAAAAGGGAAAAAATATATTTCAAAGCACAATCCCATAAAATAACATTGAGTCTAGTAAAAGAATGTGCGTGTGTGCGTGTATATATATATATATATATATTGAATCGACAGGTATCATTAAATGTCCTATGCATTTCCTGTCTTACAATAGAAAGACATTTTATATTACATATTAACTAACCTTTCCTTTATCTCCTTCATCTTTTATTTTTAATCGCCGTTTTATTAACTAAACAACCCGGATGCAATCCTATCACGTTTCTTCGATAATTCGTGGCTACGTTCTAAATTTATTATAAACTTTTTCTCTTTTCACTTAAGAGATAAAAAAGAGATTTCATTGTTAAAGAAATATTATCTCTACGTACAATAGTAAGATCAATGTCAGTATTAATAGTGGGTGTAATTTAATTACGAGCGAATCTTTTGCAAGGTAATTATTTTCCTTCCCTTTTTCTTTTGCTATCGTAAATGAGAGCAAACACGATGATTACGGAATTGATATAATTCGTGGCTAGGCTCTATATTCGTAATGAATTTTTTTTTGTTTTCTTTTTTCTTTTTTTTTTTTTTTTTTTTTTTTTAATGCCTAAAATAAAACAAAATCAAATTCCATTGAGAGATAAATATTATCCCGCGCATAATTATAAAGATCAATAATATCGATATTAATAACGGGTGTAAATTTAATTATGTGCGAATCTTCTGCAAGGGAATTAATTTCCTGTATATTCGATCGTAAATAATTACAACGCGATAGTTACGGTATCGATATAATTCATGGCAATATTTTAAATTCATTAATAAAATTTTTCTTTTATTTTCCTTTTCTTTCTTTCTTTCTTTCTTTCTTTTTTACTGAAGATGAAAGAAATTCCATTGAGAGAGAAGGGAGGAGAGAGCCAGAGAGAAAGAGAGAGAGAGAGAGAGAGAGAGAGATAGAGAGAGAGAGAGAGAGAGAGATAGAGAGAGAGAGAGAGAGATAGAGAGAGAGAGAGAGAGAGATAGAGAGAGAGAGAGAGAGAGATAGAGAGAGAGAGAGAGAGAGAGAAAGAAATACTGTTCTACCTATAATTGCAAGATCAATAACGACATTAGCAGTAGGTGTAATTTAATTATGAGAGAATCTTTCGCAACGGGAAAACTTATTTTCCCTATATTTTCTATCGTAAATAAAGATACAACGATGGTTATATACGATAAAAATATAATATATGATCATGTTTTAAATTCATAATCAAACATATTCATCCTTTATCGTAGACGAAAGAAATTCCATTGAGAGAGAAAAAATATCGTATCATTCGCAATTATAAGAATAAATATTATTGTAAAATCAATCCCTAGTATTGATATTAAATGTTTATTGATCTAATAAATGATGTGATTTAATTACCTGTGTATCCTTTTCTTTTTCTTTTCTTTTGTTTACATTTTCTTTTTTTTTCTATCGTAAACAGACACGTAAACAGACACGATGATTTAAGAAGTAATACATAGAATTGATTCGTTCGACGTTAGTAGAGGGTTAATTAATAGATATCCATGAGTAAAAGCCAACTCCTTTCTCATTGTCAGTAGAAGTTAATGTTGCCAGAGCCAGTGGCCTTCGCCACTGTGGATAGATGGAACCGAGAAATATTTTATCGCTCGACGTCACAACGTAACCTCGTAACGTGAGCTTAGTACGAACGAAAGCTTATCTCTCTTTCTCTTTCTCTCTCTCTCTCTTTCTCTCTCTCTCTCTTTCTCTTTCTCTCTCTCTCTCTTTCTCTCTCTCTCTCTTTCCTTTTCTTTCTCATACACACACACTCTCTCTCTCTCTTTTCCTCTTCTTTCTCTCTCTCTATCTCTATCTCTATCTCTTAAGCTTCTTTTACAAGCAAATTTCCCTTCAAGGTAAGTACTCGATAACTTCAACGTATCAAAAATCTTTGAAAAAAGGTTAGAAAAGTTTAGAAAAAATAAACGTCTTAATGAAAGAGAATCTATAATAACTTAGCAAACAAATATGGCATGAATTACGATCAATAGAAAGGACAATCGATAGACGTAACGTAGTTCTTTTTCGACTCATTGATTGGTCATCAATAAAAATGTTCCCCCCCCCCCTCTCTCTCTCTCTCTCTCTCTCCTTTCTATTGGTTTATTATTAAATCGAGAAATAATAATCGAATATCCGTAGAGGTCGAAAATAATCGATTCAACGATTAATTAATATCTACGCAATCTGAAAGTTAAAGACAGCGCATACACGTCCGAGAGAGAGAGAGAGAGAGAGAGAGAGAGAGAGAGAGAGAGAGAGAGAGAGAAAGAAAAGAAATTTTTCCTAACCACAAATTATGTACATATGTAGCTATACACCTTAAGTAAAATTTATAAACAAAAGCTTACGATACTTAAATTCATTGATGTTTATTCATGACATTTACTAGTATGGTGGGATACGACGGAGGGGGGAGGAAGAAAGAGAAAGAAATAAGTATTGGTGCGTGTGGGAGTTTGAAAAAGAAAATATTCCCAACCACAAATAGCATACGTGCCGTACAACCACATACACGCGTTAAATTTGTAAACAAGAGTTTACGATTGTCAAATTCATTGAGTAAAATTCTATGCCTGTTTATTAGAGCAGAGGAATACGAATAAGAAGGGAAGGAAGGGGGGAGAATAGTGCGTGCATGTACGCGAGAAAATTTTCCTAATACAAAATTTCATAACAGAAATTACATAAGTACCGTTAACCATATACACGTCGTAAAATTTCTAAAGAATATTTTACGGTCGTCAAATTCATTGAATAAAGTTCTTCATTAAAGAAAAGCAAACGTCATTGAGAAAGAAAAAAAATTGTTCTTAACCGCAAATAACATAGACAAGTACGTACATAACCGTATAAGACGCTGTAAAATATTTAACAAGTTAGTTGTCAAATTAAATTCATTGAGGAAAAATTCTTTATTAGAGTAAGGATAGGGATACCTGAGGAGAACAGGAAATGGCGTTGGAGAAGCGTCAGGTGTAGAACGTCGATCTTAAAGCGGACGCAAAAGCGACGGTTCGCCGCGCATCTCTTGATACATCCCGGAAATGAGGACGCGTGCGAAAGTTCTAGAACTTTCCAATCTCTCGGCCATGCAGGCAACGTCCACCGGGCGTTCTTGTAGAAGTCACGAATGGGAGAAAACTTGACTTAACGCTAGCTATCTCTTTCCCTTTCTCTCTCTCTCTCTCTCTTTCTTTCTATCTTTCTTTCTCTCTCTGTCTCTCTGTTTGTCTCTCATTTTTTCTTTCTTTCTCTTACTCTTTACCTCTCGACATGACGCAGAACGAAAATAAGGATCGTTCGAACGAAACGGAAAAGATCGGCGCCGGAAACACAAGAATATCTTTTTTTTTTCTCTTTCCGAGGAAGCTCTGTCTACTTGTAACACGATTGGTCGACGTAACGCGCATGGCGGAAGGAGTGGGGAGGATAGAATCGAGACTACAGCGATCGCGCGGTTCTGACCCTTAACCGCATGTCCGTCGGTAATTAATAACCGTCACGATATTACAATTCGCCACGGAATACGTGGCGAATATTGAAAATATTACGATCTAACGATTGGGGGAACGATTGTATACATAAAGGATATATGTATTAACTTTGGTACGTTTGAATTGACGTGTGTCGAAGATGAAAAAAAAGGAACAAAAGAAAAAAGCAAGAAAACAAAGAACGAAAATACGAGACGGAAAGGGTAAGATTGTTGAATGCTTATGTAAAGGTAGATCAATTGAATCACGTCGTAGATACCAACTGCCGCGTCACCGATGAATTTAATACTTGACTTAAATTTGATGTTACTTCAAAGAGAACTTATGGATTATGGGAAAGAGCTCTTACAGAATGGAGATCGAGTACGGGACGGTTGTAAAGTATAGGATGTTACGTGAAAAACCGATATCGTCTATTTGCAAATACAAATAAAACTTATTCTCTAAGCTAACGCACTCGTTTCGTTTTGTTTCGTTTCGTTCGTAGTTCTTTCGTCGCGTGGCGATCGAGACGCCATCTGTAATCGAGCGGGAAAGAAAAACGTTTGAAGGCCGCCGGCCGGGCCGAGCAGCTCGGCGGGACTCGGGCGAATCAGTGTGCGAGTCTCTCTGCCATTTGCGCGTCGGTACCCGGCTACGCGACACAGAGAGTGGTGTTACCGGAATTCTACGTGTGTTCGCCGGTGCGTAAAGAGGACGCGGCTCTCTCATTTGGTGCGTTCATTATAACGCGTGGTGCTTCAATCTTTTCAACGATAATCTTAAAGAATCTGAAGGATGGCGGATACGGAAGTAAAGTGAGTAAAAAAACGGGATTTATTATAAAGATTAACGTTGATTTTGAAAATGAAAAAAAAAATCGCGCCTCTCTGCTGTTGCTCTCTCGCGCTCTCCCTCTTTCTCTCTCTTTCTCTCTTTCTCCCTCACTTTTCTACACTTCTCATTTAAAACTATTCGCGTATAATGTTAACGCGGTTTTTATTTATAATCGAATTAGATCGATCGCCATCTTTATATTATTTCGATAAATAAAATCGAGTGGCGATCGTTGATTCGTTGAAAAACCGCGATGAGAAAGAGAGGGGGAGAGAGAGAGAGAAAGAGAGAGAGGGAAAGAGTGAGAGAGGGCAAGAGTGAGAGAGATCGGGGTGCATTTGAAATCATTGCTTTTACCTTGTGGTGCTAGCGTTGGCGCGCGCTATGCATGCATGCACGTACACACATTTATGAACCTCCGTTTGTGTACGTATGCATAGTACGTATGTGTTGTACGCTACACAACGAGACGCACGCTTGCGTATACCTTGACTCGCTTGTGTGTGTATGTGTATATATTGTTTGTACTTGCTTGGCTCTGCGGTGTGTGTCTACTACTATCTTGCCGTGAGCAGCGTGCCTCGTGTATACGACACGAATGTATACAACACGTTCACCGTATATATAGAATATGTGTGTATGTGTGTGTGTGTGTATAGAAGAGTTTTGTAAGAGCGCCGCGTTGTGCGCGGTAGAAAAGGGGAGACTAGGAAGCGCGAAGGGAAAGGAGAGGCGGTGAGGAAGGACGAGGTGGCAATGGTGGGGTGGTAGTAGTGGTTGAAAAAGGGGGGAGAACGCGGGAGAAAGATAGAAATAGAGGTGGTCGAGCAGGAGGTTTGGAGGGCGGGAGGAGAAGGGCATGATAAAGGGGGCGAAGGGGAAAGATGGAGGATACGTAAGCGCGCAACGTTCGTTCGTTCGTTCGTTCGGTGGTGAGAGCGCGCGATTACCTGTGCCCTCGGCACGATGCGTGCTCTACTTGCGAACCGTGGCCCCTTTCCCGTCTTACTCTTTTCAATTTCTTTTCATCCTTATTTATTTATTTATTTGTTTGTTTATTTATTTTGTTTTCTTTTTCTTCTATTTTCCTTCCCCTTCTTTTTTCTTCATTTTCTTTTTTCCCCACCCTCACATCTTCCCCTCTCCCTCTCTCTCTCTCTCTCTCTCTCTCTCGATGCTTTTCCTTGTTACCACTTAAATCTCGCTTTCATTGAACGTCTTTGGTAAATAACAAGCGTTGTACGTCGTGAAGAGTCAAAAGAACGGATTGATTCCTTCTTTTAGTTTGTTCTATTTTTTTTCTCATTCTTTCTTTTTTGTTATTTTTTACAAATAGATAGATAGATAGATAGAGAGAGGGAGAGAAAGAGAGAGAAAAAAATAGTTACGACATTATTCACATTAGTCCTTTTAATTTGACTTTATTTTTTCTATAGGTTATATCGTTTTGTTATTGGTTTAGTGATTGGTTGATTGGTTAGTTGGTTGGTTGGTTTGTTGGTCGATTGGTTGGTTTGTTGATTGTTAGTTACATACAACACATATACTTTTTTCCTGTAAGATTCGTGCGTAAACGTTATTATTGAGTATCGTGCTCGGTCATCCTCAACGCGTTCGTTTATTTATATCGCACATACATCGACGTTCGATTTCCTTCGTTCATTATTTCTCACAGGAGAGTACATATATATATATATACATATATATATATATATATATATATATATATATATATATGAAAGAGAAAATTAAATAAGAGAGAGAGAGAACATTTTAGGGAGAATATGAGAAAAGAAAAATTTTGGCGGGCAAAACAGAGAGATAGAGATAGAATGAGAAAGAGAGAAGGTTAGAGAGGTAGACGAGTAATATTCTCTTTGTATACCGTTCTACTACGTCATCGTGTGGCTTTAAGAAAAGATTATCTTCTATAGTTAAACGCGCGAGGACGAGGTCAGAAACGGCGTCGTTTTGCAAGAGCCTTGTGGCGCGCAAGTTACGACCGGCGGCTTCTAAAAGAGAACGGGACAGCGTATCGATCTGTGTTGCCTCCCTCGTCGTCGTTACTGGTTAGAGGATGATATGAGAGAAAAGAGAGAAGACTGAACATTCTCTCTCTCTCTCTCTCTCCGTATATACGTATATATGTGTGAGTGTGTGTGAATGTGTATGATACGTGCGTGCGTGCATGCGTATATATGTTGCGCTCGATTTGCTCCTAAAGACACATCGTTTTCGAGAAAGAACGACATTTTATGGACGAAACGAGTTTCCTCGGGAAGACGAAAATATACATATATATATATATACAAATATATATATATAATATATATATAATATATATATATATATCTTTGCGACCTGTTGAATAAATAAACATGCATTTTTTCACGTACCGAACGTGTTGTACATACATTCGTAGTGTATAAGAGAGCGAGAGCGAGAGAGAGAGAGAGAGAAAGAGTATGAGAGAAAGGCCACAGGTATATTTGTGGTCCACGCGAGAATTTGCCGCGCGATGCTCGAGCATCTGGATCGGTGTGTGGACACTATCGTGGGATTAGAGGGGGAAAAGTGGTTTAATGCCAATGCCTTGTCGCTAGATGTCGCTACCGTTGGGCGTCCTTTCTCCGTTTCTCTCTTCCTTATTTTCACTCTCTTCGTTTATTTTCATTTTTTTCTTTATTTTTTCTATTTTTTTTTTCTTTTTTATACTTATTATATACATATATTACGTTTAGAGTTTTATCATTTTGTCGGATAGAACCAGGGATATACGAATATTTCTTGAGAATTGGTTTTGCCAAACGTTTTGTGTACTATTTATTCCGATCGCTGCAATGACGCACTTTCCTTGTATTAACTGTTTCTCGTCTGTGAACAAGGTGTTTATAAATATGTATAATATTGATTCATGAATAATATCTGTGATTGTTTTTTTATTCGATGGGTTTTTTTTTCTTTTGCTTTTTTTTTCTATTTTTTCTTTTTTCCAAAGTACAACAGTGATCTCTCTTGACTGTACGGATTGCTGGTTTGTTTCAAAGCTTTTTGGTTATGTTGAAAGTTGAACCAATGTTATATTTCGATTGTTTAGGGATACAAAAGTGGCTACCAGCCCAGAGAAAAAAGTGATAGAAGAAGAAAAGAAAGTAGTTCAGGAGGTTGATGAGGACTCTAAAACCTCTGAAAATGGTCAAGCCACGGAGACCACAGAAAATGGTTCTAGTGAGGAAAAAGAAACAGAAGAAAAGGAAGAAGAATCCACCGAAAATGGTGATTCCACAGGTATATTTATTGTAATGAATAATATAATATTTCTTCTGATTAGAATTTATATTGTAAAACATGTTTTTTTTTTCTTTTTTTTTATTATCAAAATCCATATTTTAGATGCACCAGCTGACAGCTGTTGTATAAAGAGGAAATCAACAGCTTTAAATGACGCTGCGGAAGATAATGCTTCTGATGGAGCAAGCCCTGAAAAGAAGTCAAGACTCGAAGAGAAGTGTGCCGAAGCGGAGAGCAATGGAGACGCAGAAGCCACAGCTTAATATCTTCTTGTCACTACTATTCTCAGTCTTTATATATAGAATCAATTTTAACGGCTAAGCGCGAAGTCAGAACAGATTTAATGACTGTGCATCGTCAGCAGGGGCGAGCATTTTATATCAAAAGATTGATATTATGCTAATGACATTTGGCATTTAGTGCATCTATGTGTGTTTATTGCAATAATTTTTTTCATCGATCGGCGATAACAGTATGTAAATCCATACTAACACAAATCTCGAAATTCATAAACATCGATTTTGTCCCCGTACTCTGGCATCCGCATATATATTCATTTAGCATTAGACTAGTAAAGTAAGTGACACATACAAATAATTTTAGGAATAATATATTTCTAACTTCTTAAAATGAACAAACAGTGTGGTGCCTGAAAAAGATACATTTGTGCAAAATATTTCACTTACTAGTCCCCATTGTTTCTGATGCACAGAAGTAGGTATAGGTAAATAAACTAATCTCATAACCAGAGATACAAAATACATTATTTTTCTGCGAATCAAAATACATTCCTAAAGTAGAATACTTGTATCTTCAAGTATTTATTTACTCTTTGAAAAAGATCATTAAAAAAATCTTTACTCGCGATGTATACATATTGTGTATAACATTTTACTGTACTTTCATTGGATACAAATAATAAGTAACTCGTCATGTTCTCTATATCTGACAAATGCGCGCAGTGTTTGAAATTTACAAAAAAAAACCTAATTAAAATATTCGAGGAATAAGTCTCTCATTTCGCCTAATGTAGTCTACATGCCAGGATTTGTAACGAATCGCACTCTTGTTGGAAAGTTTTGTAAAAGGAAACAGTTTTTTTAATTTTAATGATGAATCTGTGCAATTTACAAAGTAAAACTTTGAAGAATTGTGTTCAATAATACATAATAACATATGTATGTGTGTGTATAGGACATACTGGTGAGTAAACATACCTGATTGTGCTAACAGCAGTAAAATCACTGCATTTATTTTTAGTAGCAATTCTATGGTCGTAGCACATTTCGTGAACAAAAATTCAAATGTATCCCATAGAGAAACTATATATCATATACATGTAGGTGTCAAATGCAAATAATTTAAAAAAACGATTCGTGTATACATATATATATATGTATGTATATGTATGTATGTATATAAATTACAATCGGTACTTATACTACCAAATTGCTTTGTTCGTAGAGCCAGTTTCTGATAATTTGATTTATTGTATAAGTATCAATGAACAACTACTAACAGATTAGAAGTGATTAGAAAAACCTATACTCTACGAACGATTCTGTTCATATTATGTCTCTCTCACTTTACGCGAAATCGATTAGAAATTTAGATATTTTTGTTTTATTTAGGTTTGGCAGAGATATAACAAAATTTATATTAATAATAAGTTCGGTATCGACTTTTCTAAAATCCAGATATATGACAATACTATTTTATAAGGAATAAAAAGAAATTTACTTTCTTTACTTTTGAGTTTAATCTAAGAATAATAATCTATTTTATTTATTTTATGCAAAAATTTGAAAAGTAATGAAGTGTATACTATTTATAATTCTAACGATATTTCTATATGACATAATCTGCAAAAGAAAAAGATGAAGAAATTAATTGCTAACATTAAAAAGTCGCTCTATGAACAAATCTATAATATCATGTTGTGACTAAAACTATTAATGGTTTTTTTTTTTTTATACGTGTTTTGCGTCATAAATAAAACCAAATTTGTAGCAGTGAGGGCAAATATAAAAATTAAATAAAAATATTTTCAACAATGGAGTATCGCGCATATATAAAAAATTACAACTGAATGTGTTCAATATATATATATATATATAAAAAAAAAAAAAATAAAATTCTTGAATACTAAAATATACTTTTTGGCAACTGTATATCTTTCATAAATAATTGTAATTGTTCAGTTAATTAGAAGACATCTAATGAATTAAACTATAATACATTGAAATTTATAATTAGAAATCCATGAACAAAATTGAAATTTGCAATTTTATCGAAAAATTGAATTTTCGATTTAAAATTAAAAACTATTTTATATAAAATACTATTCCAATCAGAAAATTATTGATCATAAGATATTTATCAATAATCATTATTTAGAAGTTTTTCAAATATTTCACAGGTATTCCTGTTTGTATGTTGTGTATGTATGTATGTATAGACTTAAGAACGGTCGGTAATGTTTCACGCATGAAAAGAAATTAAAAATTATTATTAAATCGATATTAATTTGACAGCACATCAAATATTAATTTATTTAATGGCACGTAGAAAATGACTTTATTATACAGATAATTAAAAAAAATTATCATTAATAAATCTTTTTGATCCATCGTCATTTTGATTTAATTTGTAAAAGAGCACGGTATTGAGCGCCATCTGTACTGTAAAGTGTTTTTAAGAAATGTTTTTAAACGTACGATGTGTTTTATCTATCAATTTAAATGATCGCATATTATTATCACATAAGTTAATCAATAGTGATTTATAATAGTGAAATAATATTGTAACAATTATAAATTATCAATACGTACATCTGTAAAACAAATTCCAAAAAATGAATACTAAACCTGTATTTTCTAAACCTGGTACGTACAAGCGTTCAATATTTTTTTTTTTTTTTTTTTTTTTTTTTCTTTTTTTTTGTGATACAAGTTTTGTAATTTCATTTTTATTTAATTTTATAATATTATTTATAGAAATACATTTCATTGTTACTGTTTTTTATTCGCACGTTGATATATCTTGATAATTTCGACGTATTATTAATTTTCTAACCTAACTTTGAGTATACTTTTCACTTTACTTTTCATACACTGTCCTTTCTTTAATAAAATATACAAGTGATATTTGTTCCAATATATAGTAAATTATATTTTATATTTATAGGTAGTTCGGCTTGGCAAGAAGACAGGCCAGATATCGATGTACATTCTTCGACACAATTTGTATACAATGCTCACCATTCTCTTGCATTGGATATGCAACGCAAACGTCTACCTATATTCAGAAATAGAGATCACATCATATATTTACTTGAAAAATATCAGACTCTAGTGCTGGTCGGAGAAACTGGATGTGGAAAAAGTACGCAGTTACCACAGGTATTTAAAAATATAATAATTAGAAAATAAGTTTTGCTTAGTACACATTAACGCTTCATTCCTGTAGTTCTTTCTTTCTACATGTGCTTTTCGATTATTTAGAAATATCTGTTCATTATAGTAATTAATGTTTTACACAAAGAGCAATAAAATAAGATTTAATTCGATAATGTAGACCGTATATATAAAGAAATATTTTAGAATTAATTTCTTAAAGAAATAAAGAAATTAGATATTATTGAGTATAATAAATGTGAGTTAGCAAATAGTGGGCAAAGATCAATATCTAAAACAAACTTTTGTATGTATATCCGTATATATATGTATAGTAACAAATTCTAAAGTAGTTCTAGAAAATGATATCAAAGAAGTACTGCGAAGATTTCATCAAAGCAATTATTGATGTTATTTCTGTTTCACTTATATATATGCATATACATACGTTCTTTAATTTAATAGTAACATATAACTCCCCCTTCGTATAATATCACGTTCGTTCAATAAAAGGGTCAAGAGTATCCTTTACCCTTTTCTCTCCCTTATGATATTAAAGCGTATCTGCTACAAACGTCTCGACCGATAAGACGCAATAAAAAAAAAACGTATTCGAATGCGCATGTGCCTATGTAAAGTTCACGTCATTTAGCTATAGTCTTTAAACTTCAAGGTCTCAGTTCAATGAAAATTAGAGGATGTTCGACGACGATCGAACAGTAAGTATACGAAATTTAAATTCATGGAATTTAAAAAAATAGTAAAAAAAAAAAAAGAAAAAAAAAGAAAGGATAAGGCTTTTTCTTCTTAAGACAGAAAAGAAAGGAAGACAGAAAGAGATGAGAAATAAAAAGAAAGGAAGATAGAAAAAGATAGGAGGAATGAATCGAAAGGGTGGATTGATTTGTTAGGAATATAAAAGTATCGAGGGGTTGAAAAGAAGCCTTTCTTTCGTTTCTCTGACATAACGGATGAAAGAAGCCACATAGAAGAAAACTTTCGTTCTAAAGGGAAATTTTATATATTTTGTCGTTCGTCTCTATCGTTTGTTTTTTCTCTTCTTTTTTTTCTTTTTTACAAATCTAGGAGAAATGGATCGAGAATTTTTTTTTTCTTTCTTCTTTTTTTTTCTTTTTTTTTCTTTTTTTTCTTTTTCTTCCCCCAGGATATCTTGATTGCTCTTATATTTATTTCTTCGAGATAGATAGACAGATAGGTAGATAAGAAGCGATTGGATTTATTATTAGCAATAAATAATGACAAAAATAAATTAGGAGAAAGCATATAAAAATTGAATATTAAATTAGAAAGGCATAAAATGAATAAAATTATAAACATAAAATATTTTTTAAAGATCATCTTTATCTTTTTCAAGGAATAAAATGATGGGGGGGGTGGAAGAAAGCGATTAGGAGGTTTATATATTATTAACTGTAATAAAAAGGAAAAAAACGATATGAAAGAAAGTGATATGTCAAGAATGAAGGTGAAGGGAAAGAAATATAGTCGAGTAAAAGATTTATTATGCGTGATTACGTGCGATGCGACGACGCATGGACACAATCGTCGCCGCGAGGAGTTAAGGTAGATTATTGAAGTTAGAGCGACTCCGCGAGTGACTCAGTAAGCTTCAGTTCCGTCTGCCGAATGGTCAAAAGTGTTACCTTTGACACGAATCTTTGATTTGTTTTCTATTTTTATTTTTATTTTTTTAATATATTCTTCATCGAACTTATCAGATCTTTTACGAGAATAATACGATCAAAGTGTGTTCGTAGAATTTGTGTAAGAAATTATTCGATATTATTATTGGAGAATAAAAAAGAATTGTGCTTTACAAAAATCATAGGAGATAAAAACAAAAGAGCATTGTTTTATTTCTTGTAAAAGAGAAATAAAAAGGAAAACAAAGGAAGAAAGAAAGAAAGAAAAAAAAATAACATGGCTATACACTACGATCTGGTGAATAAACTGACTCTAGCATTTCTCGCAGTATCGATAATATATTTCATCGTAATGGACATATTATTGTATTTGAGAGTGAAGAATTATCCTGTGAAAGAAACGGTGAACGATACACCACTGTATCGACCAATGATATCATGCGATTTGAATCCCCTTTGCGCGGTAACAGTGAAGGGTTTGACATTGGATCATCCGAATCATTTTCTCTTGAGTCCGTTGGCCGCTCTGATGGATAAGATTTTGGGTATTAGCAAATCATGGTATTGGTTGACGCCAAATTTAATAAGTGGTTTTCACGTGTTAGTCGCTGTGTTAGCGGGCAAATGTGTTTCGAGCGAGTCCCTGACGCAAAGACGTCTCGGCGTTATGCTCTTTCAAGTGAGAACATAGCTAGACGATTTGGACGGCCACATAGCGAGACAGAGAGCAAACATATCGGGTGAACGATCGGACGTTGGTTCACCTGGTTATTTCGTTGATGGTTTTTGCGATGCTCTTGGATGCATCGCTTTGATCGTCGGCCTTTATTACTTCATTATTCGCTCTCCATCCAGACGAGGAGGATACGATAAGATGCAAACGTTACCTTTAACATCTGTCGTCTTAGATACGACTCATTACGTATCATCTTCGAACACGTCAATAAGGAACATCGCACTTCCTAATGTTCTCTTGTTGATCGGTCATCTGATCGTTGCCAGTGCCGCATGGAATCGTTATATATGGCTTTATCAGGATCTTTTGGATCTAGATATCGAACCATTCACAATCAACACCGAACTTCTACATCTACGACAAACCAATGTACTTAGAAGTAATTCATTCTGGTTCGTCGCTCTAAGCTGGAAAATGTTCAATGTACATGCAGCCATGGATTATCTTTTACTGGCAATATTTTTTAATCGTGTTTGGGAATATATGAAACTGTCCAGATGGTCGTCCTACATTCTTATATTTTTACTTATCTATTTGACAGAATTTCATTATCAGTATGCTTATGATTATGTACATATGGTACCTATAATTGTTGATGGCGTGACATCTTCCTCGGTCGGCCTTATTCATCGATGATAGATTGATTATTTATCTGTCTTTATCTCTCGACTATATATATATATATTTTTTTTCTTCTTCTCTCCCTTTTTATTAACAATCTTATCTAGATTATTTGATGTTTCATTGATACGTCGACGTTTATTGCTATCAAAATTATATATAAGTTCACCATATCGATGTGAAGAATCCTTTAACGATTATCTTTAGTTCATTACTACGATCGATACAAACTTCATTTACTTCTGTAAATTTTTTTTATATCGATAGTATCTACGTGACTTTGACGATATATCTTTCGAAAATGTAGGAGAAAGAAAGGACACAAATATTTCGTATTATTGTGATTACAGGTAAAATCTTATCGATATGTTTTAACGGAGAAAAATGTATTGACTAAATTTATTTCTCTCATTTACGAGTTGATTATCGATAAGAGAATTATCGCGTACGATTAAAAAAAAAAAAAAAAAAAAAAATTGATTAAACTTTCGTATTAGCCCGCGCGTGTCCATAAATATATAAAATGATATAACTATAATTTTTTGATTAATACAATAAATTGGCATGAAATTTTTCGTTTATCTGAAAACATATTTTTTCAAACGAATAACAATCGATCGAAAGAAAAAATCGAAGGGATCTATATATTTGTGTGATTTCTTTTTTTTTCTTTTTCTTTTTTTTTTTTTCTTTTTTTTCTTTTTTTATACATATAATTTTTTAATCATAAAATATATAATTTAAATATGTCGATTCTAATATAAACAAATAAATACTTATGTATTATATAATAACGTAAATATGTATTATATAATAACGTAATAGAAAAATTAGGCAGACCTCGATAACTCAAAATATAGCACAAATTTACTATTTTTTATGAGATCAAAAAATATATACATAAATATTGAATAAATTAATAATAATAATAATAATAATAACAATAATAATAATGTTCAGAATTTTTAATAATTTTTCTTTTTTATGCTATAAATTTCAACATTCTTAATCAATCTTTTTTGCTTTATTGGCCAAAATATTGTAATTCCAATAATTTTTTATGGTGAATTATAAAGTTTCTTACAATAGTTTATTATTCGATATAAATTTTTTTTTTGTTTACGATTTGTCATCGATGATTCATAGACTTGTATTCATAAATCAATTCATAAATACGTCGTATGCCATATTAATACTTTAATAAATAGAAATGGCTTTAAAATACATAATATATATGTGTAACATATCTATGTATCTTATCGTCGGATTATTATATAAAAATAACTATAAGCAAAAAAATATTAGTATTAAGATGTATCGGTTATCTCTATCTTATCGTCATATAGAGGTAACGTTAAGGCAGTAATATTAGTATTAAGAAAAATCGTAAGATAAAAAGATCGTTTTGCAAATATAATAATAAGTTTTCTGTCAATACTTGTTGCGATAACATTTTGACACAGATAACATCATTTTTAATTCAATAAAAAAAAATTCAGAGGCCTATTTGTTATTCTAATTTCTTAATTAAAATATATACATATATACTTCGTATTTAAATATATATATATATATATATAAAAATAAAAATGATATTTCATAATAATTGAAACTTCTAAGTTTTTATTAACATTATCTTTTTTTCTCTCTTTACTTTTTTGTCTAATCGTACTATCTGTTAGATAAGATTAACAAGTACGATAATTGAGAGATATAAAAATACGAGGAACAACTTTACACACGGGTGCATCTGTGTATGTGTCCGTGTTGTTTTAGGAATTATTTTTAATCGCGTAAAAATGCAAATACCATTGAATAAAAAAGAAAGGAACGGTAAATACTAATAATCAACTATTATTTCCTACTATTTGCTATCTATTGTAAAAAAGAAATGACTTCATCCGACTACAGGATGTTTAAAAGAATATGCTTGGTGTGATATGAGATAAGAAGTATAGCGTTTTATTTTTCAGATAACCCTTCAACGAGAGAAATATATATCTATTGTTTCTTCTCTCTTATTAATTTCATGATGTTTATAAAAATCAATTTCGAAGAGAATATTACGATTCATTGCGTTTAAGTCATAGTCAAGAACAGATTAATTATACGACATTTAATCAGTTACTTAGCATTTTTTTTAATTTTTTAATTATTGTAACCATGTATGTATGTTACATGACGTTGTATTTTTTTTTTTTTTTTTTCTTTTTTTTTTTTTTTTTTTTTTTTTTTAATACAAATTATATGGACATAGTTCATTTACTGACAAATTGGATCTTGTTTGATCGATAATAAAATATTAATTTATCTTATACGTAAGAAGAAGGATAAATAAATATCACACTGATAAGGAATTAATATCCATTCGAGTGTTGGCACGACTAACATTTTACATTGTAATTTCAATTTTCTATTTATACGCACGTATGTATGTATTCGAAGAAAAGAAAAGAGAAAAAAAAAAAATATATATATATATATATATATATTTATTATGCGTTACATAACTAATTATTAATTTATATTTCTAAAACTGAAATAAATAGATTTTGTCTACAACCATATTTAAATCATTAACAACTATTAGAATGCTTTCAATTATTTCTTGAAAGTAATTGATTTTAATGAATTTCATGTAAGCCAATTACTTTTAATTAATTTCATGTAAAACCAATTTGTTACAAATTTTATTTATAACATAGTTATTATTATGTAACATGCACGTTAAACGATAGTTATTATCCTGTTCTTTTTTTTCTCCTGCAAGTTATGTTCAAATGGGAAATTTACCACAAAAGAAGTTATGTGGTTGATATGACAAAACAAAAAAAAAAAAAAGAAAAGAAATGAGAAAAAAAATAACGAGTAAACTTTATTTTTCTCACGCGATGGAACACACAATAGGTGGTCAGGAAAGTTACTTGGATACTTCATTATGTCACAAAAAAAAAAGAAAATATATATATATATATATATATATATATATATATACACACATATAAGAAGGAAACAAAAGTAGTATCGATAGTTCCTTTTTGTTCTTATCAATCCTCTTTATCAGGACTAGTTTCTCTCTCTCTTTCTCTCTCTCTCTTTCTCTCTCTCGCATACTCACTCTTTCACTCTTCTTTTTTTTTTATGAAGATACGTAAGTACGTTTCCCTTCATTTTCTTTTCTTTTACGATTCTGTTAAAATTTTTATGTTCTTACATATATTTTCTCTCTTTTTTTTTTTTTCTTTTTTTCTCTTTAATTGACAGTATCTTCTCGAGGCAGGATGGTGCGAAGATGGCAAAATAATTGGAATAACAGAACCAAGAAGAGTTGCAGCTACATCATTGTCAAGTCGAGTTGCTGACGAACGTAACTGTTTACTTGGAACCGAAGTTGGTTATTGCATACGTTTCGATGATTGCACCAATGAATCTACCAAGATTAAAGTACGTGAAAATATTTTTTTTTCTTTTTCTTTCTTTTTCTTCCCCCCCCCCCTTTTTTTTTTAAGTTGATTGTATTATCGTGGACACGGTGATGTTTCCGAAGCTTTTTATCAGATTATTTCCATACGAGAGATTTAATAAGCAGATACAATGGAATAGTAGAGAATATAACAATGCATCCTGTTCTATTTTTTTTTTTTTCTTTTTTTTTTTCTTTTTTTTTTTTGTACATGTTTAATAATGAATCATATTGAGACACATTATAATGCATGTTTCAACGTCCTTTTTTTACTTACAGTATATGACTGAAGGAATATTGTTACGTGAATTAATGAGCGATCCATTGCTGACAACGTATGCAATAATTGTATTGGATGAAGTACATGAAAGATCTTTAATGACTGACATTATTATGGGGCTTTTGAAGAAAATTATTAGAGTAAATAGAAAAATTATTTTCATCTTTGTTGTAAACGTAACGTTTGTTATTTTTTTTCCCTTAAAAATCATTAATGATTTTATGTCATTATAGAAACGCAAAAGTTTAAAGATAGTTGTGTCCTCTGCAACAGTCGATGCCGAACAATTACGCGATTTTTTTAATATGAATACAACAAAGGATTCTTCAAAGGATACTGCTGTGATTATGAGCGTCGAGGGTAGATTATATCCAGTAGATATTTTCTACGTCAGAGGTAGAGCTAACTTAAGTCACGTTGTTTTGTATATACACGTTTTGTGTTTCATAAAATCTTCGTCTCTTAATGTTTTAGACATTTTTCTTTTTTCTTTGAATTTATAATTTTAGAACCAGTAGCAAATTACGTTACGAGTGTTGTGGATACCGCTTTAAAGATTCACGAAGTAGAGGAACCCGGTGACATTCTAGCATTTCTCACAGGACTCGACGAAGTAGATCAGGCAGTTTCTCTTCTATCAGAACATGCTAAACTTATAAAGGATGGAAAACGTAAATAGAAAATACTCTATTTGTGTCAGTGATCATGAAGATGTTTTAAGTCATATATACATATATATTTCATTTTGAGATATTTTAACAATCGTGTTTGAATTATTTACAAATTAGTTTTCTTTAATGAAACAAATAAAAAGAATTAAATATGTATATATTTATCGTTGAGAAAAGATTTTTTTTTGTTTATTATTTTTTTTATACATTTCAATCGATTAAAAGATTTTTTAAAATAACGCGTAACGAAGTATGTCCTTTATAATATCTTGAATAACTTATATCAGACGGCTTAGTTTTTTAATCTTTTCTCTATTTTTTTCTTTTTTTTTTTTTCTCATATATATATATATATATATATATATATATATATATATATATGTGTAGTAAAACTACAACCATTGGCAATGTATGGATCTCTACCGAACAATGAACAACTCAAGGTATTCTGGAGAGCTGCCAAAGACACCCGAAAAGTTATCGTGGCGACAAATATCGCTGAAACTTCAATTACTATTCCAAACGTCGTTTACGGTAGAATCACAGTACGCTTTCATGCTACTTTTAGTTTTGTAATGTTAACATTAAAGTTTTTCTTCTGAACGAGCAAAGTCATATTAATGTAATGTACTTTACGATATATTCCAGTGATCGATTGCGGCTTTGTCAAGATGCCCTGGTTTGAGTCAGAAACGCAAACTAATAGTCTTACTATTGTACCCGTGTCTAAAGCATCGGCTGATCAACGTGCCGGCCGTGCGGGTCGAATTCAAAGTGGAAAAACTTATAGGTAATAAACGAAAAAGAAATTGTTCTAACTATCAATTTTTCAATTCATTTCATACATATATATATATATATATATTTGTTTTGTTTTGTTTTGTTTATTGTTGCTGTTGCATTTTTGAAGATTATATACGGAAGAAGCTTATAATGAATTACCAGAAGCAACCCCACCAGAAATGCAAAGATCGGATTTAGCACCAGCGATTTTACAATTAAAAGCATTGGGAATCGATAATGTACTTCGATTCAATTTTCCATCGGCTCCACCCAGTAAAAATCTTATAGCAGGCATGGAATTACTTTATGCGTTAGGTGCTATAGATAATGATGGAGAACTGACGACACCTTTAGGCATGACAATGGCAGAAATGCCATTAGAACCTACTTTTGGAAAATGTCTTATTGTTTCCGGTAATAATTTTAATAATTTTCTTTTTCTCTCTCTCTCTCTCTCGAGTTAATCTCGTTTAGAATACAAAATTTGTCGTAATATGGTTTTAAAATTTCTTATCGAAATAGGACAAATGGGTTGTTCAGAAGAAATTGCTTCGATAATAGCGATGCTTCAAGTGCAAAATGTTTTCATTCGACCTGGCGGCGGTCAAGCCATTGCAAAAGCCAGAGTGGCTCATCGTAAATTCGAAGTAGAGGAAGGCGATCTTTTGACGTTATTAAATGTTTATGTCGCTTATGAGAAAAATAAAACACCAAGTTGGTGTCAAAAGAATTTTCTTAACAATAAAGCTTTACGTAGGGCTTCGGAAATTCGAGGACAAATTTGTCGAATGTTAAAGAAATTGGATATTCCTTTGACATCTTGCAATGGTAATCATCATCCTTTGAAAATCAATTGCGATTCGTTCAAATAGCTTTTTATTATAAATAAATATTTATTATCATAGGAAACGTAGAACAGATCTTGAAATGCATAACAACGGGATTATTTCCAAAGGCTGCATATTTACATTATACTGGTGTATATAAAACGATCCGAGGGGATAAGGATTTATATATCCACTCGAATAGTTGCCTGTATACTATTCAACAGCCACAATGGTAATTTATCCATATTCTTTTACAAAGATTTTCTAATACATTCTGTTATTAGTTTCTACTACATCTTATTATTCTTTTAGGATACTTTACTGTGAAATAGTACAAACTAATAAAACTTATATGAAAGATTTAACTATGATACAATCGGAATGGTTATTGGAATTGGCCCCACATTTTTACGAAAAAACTTCGATCGATCCGGTTTAAATGAGATATAATAATTTGGTAATTGTAAGAATATTTAATAAATAAATAAATACTATGTCACGTATTTATTTTCTCGTTTTCATAAAAAAAAATAATTAAATATGCAAAAGGAATTCTATTGGTCCACTGATTCGACGAAAATACGCATGCGCACTAAGAATTAATTTTGCAACACTAGCGCCTCCAAATCAACGGTTTAATAACAATATAGGTTATGTTATTTTCGTTCTTGTTGGCATTGTAAAGGTAATAAGATAATTTGTAATAATATTTTGCAATTTACCGTGGAAAAGAATTCTTTTATTTTCGTATATTATTTGTACTTTCATATGCATGTTACGGAATTAATAGAAAATGTTTAACATTAATATGAATTAACAGATGTATTATTTTCCGGACAAAGCATGTTTATAATTCAAATGAGACAATAACCTCAAATGCGTAGCGTCTACTTCAAAGCTTTGTGTTAAAAAATATGGCAAATATAATCGATTCTCTTAAAAAACTTAGCGTAGAGAACGGTACAGCGAAACAGAATAACAACATGTCTGTGAAGAAGAAAAACGAATTAGTATTATCGGTTGAAGAAACGGTGTTTCGAAAAAGTTATGTTTTAGCAGTTTGTGGAACTCAAAGGTAAACATTTTTTTTCTTTTTGTTCTTTTTTTTTATTTTTATTTATTTATTTATTTATTTATTTATTTATTTATTTTTTTTTTTTATTACCAAATTTAGACCGTAAGTTCACGTGACTCGAAAATATTAAAACAATTCAGACATTCAAACTATATATACATATATATATATATATATATATATATATATATATACATATATACATAGAAACTGCTTTAATTTGTATTTATCTTATTAATTGTTATAATCGAGTTAATATTAATTTATTGTCTTTAGTGAACCAGAATTCAGAATCGGAACGGCTTCATCCAATCATTTGTGCGTCATCTATACAGCAGGAGAAACTTTAAGTAGGACTACTACGTTAACTCATAATAAAGCTACTATTGTTGGAATCAAATTTAGTCCTACCTCCAAGAATATTATATATACGGCAACTAATAAAGGAATAATTACTGCATGCGATTTACGTGCTAAAGGAAAAGCAGTTGCAGAATTTAAAGGTTCATATTATTCTTTGTCATATATTTTGAATTAAAAGAATTATCATTTTAAAATGATTTTCTGAATGTATTTTTCTGAATTTGTATAGTACAAATTCTAATATAGATATGTGTACACTGCTTTTTCTAGATAGTTCTGAAGATGGAAAATTAAAACCATTAGCTAGTTTTGATATAAGTTGCGATGAAAGACTTATTGCTGGTGGAACCGAACACATCGGTGGAGATACATTTATTTTGTTTTGGGATATCAGGCATAGTAATTCTAAAGTAGAATGTAAGGATAATAATCTTCTTGGAGGTTACTGGCAGTCACATATGGATGATGTGACTCGCTTATCATTTCATCCCAACAAACGAGATATTTTGGCATCCGGTAGTGTAGATGGTCTTATCAATATCTTTGATCTAACGCAGCCTACAGAAGATATGGCATTAAGATATTCATTAAATACCGAGTCCTCGGTGGTAAGTCTGTATGTAATTTTTATGAATATAAATTTAATAATATAGCATTGATTAATTATTTTTATTACATGTATTTTTAAATAAAAGGATGGATTAGGCTGGATGAACAATGACAATCTATGGTGTACAACATTTACATCGTCGTTGCAATTTTGGAATGCTGAAGGAGTAACTCCATATACAAGGTTCAAACGTAGCAGTTTAGCATTAGCACACGTATGTTTTAGTTATATTATTTTCTAGGTATTACTTTTTTGTTTAACAATTGTAGTATTATTCAAAATTTTGGTTAAAATATTTTATATATATATATATATATATATATATATATATATATATATAAAGAATTGCATAATAGAAGTTATAATATATTATTTCAGTTTATTTGATATTAGGTAAGTTATACAAAGATGAATTAAAACAAGTCAGCCTAAGTATTTACTCACAATCTGTGTTATTAGTGCATTTCAAAATTTTACAGCAAAAATTGGTAAAGTTTATGAGCTATAGCTTTGATGACGGGCGAACCAATATATGCAATCTTTTAATGCACATTTACATGCTGCTGTCTATATTTTGAGAAATTGGTGGATGGGAAAACAAGAAGACTTGTATATATCCAAATGCATAATTGTTAATTTTTCGTTATGTGTGTTAAAAAGAAAAAATAGTCTTGATTACTGTTATTAATTTTGTTTTCAGGGTGATGACCCAGATAATTGCTACATAGTTAAGTTTCATCCTTCGAATGCGCTTGGACAACCATTCCTATTAGCAGGATCAGATAATGTTAAAGGGTAAATATTGAATGATTAATCAAAGATATAAATAGTCAGTTTAATAATGATAATTATATTTTCCTCAATAGTGAAAATTTAAGATGTCTAAGCGTCGTAAACAATCAACTAGAAATCTGTTATAATCTTATTGGAAATAAGCAGTATGTAAGGGACAGTTGGTTACATGAAAAGGTAGGCGGCTTATATATAAAAAGATCCTTAACTACATAAATAAATAAAAAAGAAAAATTGAAATAATCTGTTAATTATGATATCATAGAGTAACTCTTTAGTAACTGTCGGAGAAGATGGTTTAATAAATATTTGGAGACAGTCAGAGTCTAGTGGCGTTCAACAAAGTGCAGGCCAGAAATTATTAACAAAGATCGGTAGTGGGAAAAGCCGAGAACGTCAGCATAGGGCCAAACCATACTAAGCGTTAATAATAGGATAAAGATCTATAAATGGACACTATTTTGTAAGTAAATATAATAAACAAAAAAAGAGCAGTCGCTTGATATAAATTCGGACGTAATGTATATTTCTTTCACGTTCTTTATTACAATAACAGTTGTATGTACATTTATAATAAATAGGTTCTTATTTTTTTATACGGCTAAATATTCAACGGTGATTTATATAACGATCAAAAAATTCAGCATGTTTGTGTAAATGTTAAGGAATGTAAATTGCGTACCACAATGTATGTATATATATATATGTATATACATATATATATGGAATTAAAGAAGGAAGAAAAGAACTATTGTTAATTCTTTTCTGCTCTTGTCAGTTTAAAATATTAATTTATAACAAAACACGTTTTGTCTTTCACATATTCGATTGAATAAAATCAATTGAATTGAATTTAATCGAACCTCTGTTTATTCGAAAATATATGATGAACTGCGAAAGAAAGACGCAGCTTAGATATTTTACTGGTAGCAGAAAAAATCGTAAATGCAGCTATTACATGCTTCAAATATATAGAATGAAAATGAGAATAGTGAGGGAGGGTGATAGATAGATAGATAGATAGATAAATAGAGAGAGAGAGAGAGAGAGAGAAAGAGAGAGAGAGAGATAAAAAAGGAAATAAAAAATACGAGAAGAAAATTCCTGGCTATACGCGTCTTGTTCACAATGAAGCGACTGACTGATACAACTTAGCTATGGCAAGAGGTAATAAATGCTTTTCAAATATAAAAAAAAAGGTCAATTAAATAGAATCATGAATAAAAAATATTATCTAAATAAAAAATACGATTTATGTACGTGCGAATATGATGTTATTTAACAGAGTAATGATTTGAGGAGGTCTCGTTGTCACTATATAAGCAACCACGAATAGCTAACTCTTTCGTATGTTTTCATACAAGAGTTTATATATATATATATATATATATATATATATATATATATATATATATATATATATATATATATATACACGAATATTTCTACGATTCGAACAGTCTGGTAAAAAAGAGCGTACAACGTGGATTTGTCACGATAGATACAAGTTTCGCATAATACTTCAGTCGAACGATCGAATTCTGACAGAATATGTCGGAGCGAAAAACTCAATAATATAACAATTAATATTAATAGTGTATAAACATCGCATTGCGATTCGTACTTTTTCCATCTTTTTGTTTTCTTTTTTCTTCTTCTTTCCTCCCTTTTTTTCTTTTTTTTTTTTCTTTTTTTTTTTTTTTTATAGTTATTCAAATCTAAAAAGATTTTTATAATACTAGATTATCGAATGAGCGCATATAATAAAACAAACGTACGCCCTTTGATACATATTACAATGTTACGATAACGTTCCAAATATGATCGCAGTAGCGAGTATCACAATGATAACAGTAGATATAGTTTTAAAGTGAAGTAGTATAGGTACAGAGTAAACGTACAAAAATACTTCCCATGAGCAATAGGGACGTAAAGATTCGCTAAAACATGGAAAATCCCACGTTGTTATTATTATTACTAATATTATTATTATTATTATATTATTATTATTACTGCTATTATTATTATCATTATTATTCCTATCATTATTATTATTATTGATTTATTATTATTATTATTATTATTATTATTATTATTATTATTATTATTATTATTATTATTATTATTTTATATAATATTCTCTCTGTTTTAAAGTTGTACCGCCATATGACATCAACTTTTAGATGCCATAAGACGCACATAGGCCGCCACACTACTCTAGCTGTTAACGATTTGATTTCTTCGTGTTGCCTTTAAGATGATAGCCGACTTCATCTTATGATTATTATACCTGATCTTATTACTTTTTTTTCTTTCTTTTTTTTTCTTTTAAGTCAACAAATAATCTAGACAATGATATTCCTTAAAAAAGAAATCTGTTAACTGTGCAAGCGCATTTGGAATGCTTATTTTTTTACTTTTATTTTTCTTCTTCTTCTTCTTCTTCTTCTTCTTCTTCTTCTCTAAAACACTTGCACTTATCCCGATCTAATTAGCTTTCTACGTGTACTTTGAATAGAATATACGAAACATGAAGTCGAACATTCATCTTTAAAGGTTTACTAATAGCTAAAAATACGATATATCATCATGTACGAGCTTTTCTACATGTTTCTCGACACATTTCAATAATAGACTTGTATGATTATTTTTGTTTGTTTTGTTTTGTTTTTTTTTCTTTTTTTTCTCTTTTTTTCTTTTTTTTTTTTTTTTTTTTTTTTCTTTTCTCACAATTGAAATTTCTTATAGAATACTTTTTAATAACTATTGTCACCACGATTGATTGAGACGAACTTGGTAGTATTATTATATATGTTTCTCTTATTAAATTAATTAATTTTAGTCGCGCATTTTGCATCATCATGGTGGCCCACAATGATACTATTTATTATTCGATCATATTGCACGCTATAACACGTTAAATCAGGCAAATTAGTGACCTGTACAAGCAATTATAAGATTTCTTTTCTAAGTTATATAAAATGATAATCAGAAAGAGAAAGAGAGAGAGAAAGAGAGACAATCTCCATATATAGATTTTCTTTCTTTTTGTTTTTTTTTTTTTTTTTTTTTTTTTTAAATGTTTAAATGATGGTAATAATAATAATAATAATACTCTGATTTTTTGCTTCTTTTTAAATTTCTTCTCTATCCCGTAGAGATAAGTAGAAAACTGTAATATAATTGCTAATAATAAAAGCGATATATATATATATATATATATATATATATATATATATATTTATATTTATATATATATATACATATATATATTGTTAAGCGTCAAACAATATTTTTCTAATACAATATAAGTTTTGTTATATTTGCTTCATTGAAAGACAATGATATTGATATATCAATATATCTATGATCAGCTTACTTTACTATTAATTCAAGATATATATGTTTACAATAAATAGAATTTTCAAAGAAGATGAAGTATATATATATATATATATTTATGAAGTATATATATATATATGTTTCACACAGGATGTTTACGATAAAAGGTCCTAATTTTTTTTAGCGTTTCATTGTAAACACTCTGTATATGTAAATGCATTAGAAAGAATGAGAGATGATTCTCGTTTTCACTCAGAGCGTGCATTATGATCGCACTTTGCATAATACTTATCGAAAAATGCATTTTTTTCTCTTTTCCTTCACAATTAACGATACGAACT